TACAGACGTTTTCGGCAACAGTTAGGTGTAAAGGGGGGAACGAAAAGGTATTACGTTGTACGAGAAGTGGTTGATTCACTGGGGTTGAAAATTATTAATAAAGAAGCGCTTATTATTTTCACATTTGGATGCAAAGATGCAAAAGAGCGCTTGTATGATATCGTAGAAATCGTATTGCAAAATGTAAGCCATCCCAGTAAAAAGAAAAAAATTAACGCAATAGTCATTGATTCTATAACACTAGGGCAAGTAAAAGTTCCTTCTCGGTGGATACGAAAGATGGCGTTTGAGAAGGGAATAGAATTAGCAGATGCTGGTACGAGTGACGAAATTCAAGTATTAATAGGTTCGGATTATATTTGGGAAATTTTAGGAGAACGAAACGTGAAGATTTGTAAAAAATTAGCCGCAACAGAAAGCACTTTTGGTTTTGTGATTCAAGGCAAGGACGAAGGATCAAAGTGTAAGGACGCAAGAGTTAATCATATAACCGTTGTAAATGAGGACTTAGATTATGAAAGAGTTAAAAAATTATGGGAATTAGAAGCAATTGGGATAAGTTCGGATAAAGAAATATCTCTATCAGATAAAAAAATTTTAAGAGTCATTTGAACGAAATACAACTTACAAGAATAAAAGGTATGAAACTCGATTATTGTGGAAAGAGGGTGTTGAAGGTTTAAATAACAATTATGAAATCGCGAAACAGCGTTTACAATTTTTAAATAATAAGTTTCAGAAAAATAGCGAGCTATATTTAAAATATAATGAGATAATTAATGAACACTTGAGAGATGGTATAGTGGAACGGGTAGATACGTATTTAAATAGTAGTTTGAAAACGGGGTATTACATGCCTCATCACGCGGTAGTGCGCGAGCAGAAGGATTCTACAAAGGTTCGAATAGTTTTTGACGCTTCTTCTAAAAGTAAGGGAAATTTATCACTTAATGATTGTTTGGAAAGCGGACCTAATTTAAATCCTGATTTGCTAAAGATTATCATTAAATTCAGGGTACATTCAATTGCGTTTTGTGCCGACATTCAGCGTGCATTTTTAGAGGTAGGCTTAGCTAAAGAAGATAGGGATTTTTTAAAGTTTTTGTGGATAAATGAAGAAGGGTCAAATCTCGATCACAGTAATCCCAACTTACAAGTTCTCCAACACAATCGAGTTCCTTTCGGGGTCAAGTGCTCACCTTATTTATTAACAGCTACAGTAAGACTGCATTTAAAAAAGTATGAAGATGCCTACGAAGAGGCATGCAGTATGTTAAAAGAGCTTTACGTAGATGATTTAATTTCTGGGACAGTTAATGTAGCAAAGGCCTTACATTTAAGCAAGGACATGATTTTCATTCTTAGCGAGGCCAGTATGAATTTACGTAGATGGGTTTCAAACTCACCTGAGCTGAATGAACTATGGAAACTTAATGGAATTGACTCTCGTGAAACATCTGAAGACTCTTTGGTACCGTTGAAAGTTTTAGGTCTTATCTCGGGACAATGTCAATGATAATTTGAAAATAGATGTATCTCAGTTTGAGAAGTTACAAAATCTCAAAGTAACTAAACGCATCATTTTAGCAGCATGTGGTATGCTCTTTGATCCCTTAGGAATTATGAATCCATTTACTGTTCGAATTAAACTCTTAATGCAAACTATGTGGGAAAAGGGTATTCAATGGGACGAAAGTGTTCCCCTTGATACAGAATTCATATTTCAGGAATGGTTAAAAGAAGTTGAAAAAATAAAGTTTTTCGAAATTCCCAGACAGTACTTCAGTGATATGTGTTGGAAGTTTATAGAAGTTCACATATTTTCTGATGCCAGTCCCAAGTGTTATGGTGCCGTAGCATATTTTAGATTTAAGAAGAAAAATAAATGTAAAACAAGTTTCATAGTGTCGAAATCCCGTTTGGCTCCATTAAAAAGGGTAACACTCCCTAGGCTTGAACTTTTGGGAACATTAATTTCTGCAAGATTAGGTTCGTATTTGCAATCGATATTTCCGCAGTTGGATAAGGGAAATATATTTTACTGGACTGATTCCCAAATTTGCATTCACTGGATCAAGGGATCTGCCAACGAGTGGAAACAATTTGTTAGAAATCGTGTGGTAGAAATCAAGGAGAAAACAATTTTAAACAACTGGTACTTTTGCAGTGGGAAGACAAACCCTGCTGATAAACTTACAAGGGGGATGGATGCTGAAGCTCTAATTAATGATAGTGATTGGTTTTCTGGGCCACCCTGGCTTTCAGAAGTAGATATTCGACATCACATAAACGAAATGAATACCGAAGCTGACTTGCAAAACGTTAGTGAAGAACGAAAATGTGTTACTTTGAAAACACTTGTGGAATCTACAGAACCGTTACTAAATCTTGAACTGTATGGAAATTTAACCAAAGTACTGGGAATAATGGCTTATGTTCTGTGCTTCGTGAACAACTGTAAATCCGTTCGTGAAAAGCAATCTGGTATGCTTACCGCCTATGAGTTACGGAAGGCTTCAGAATTTCAAAGGTGGTTAGCAAATGAAAACATAAGGTGGATATTCAACCCGCCTGCTGCTCCACATCATGGTGGTATATGAGAGGCAGCTGTCAGATCTATGAAGTTGCATCTAAAGAAAATGTGTTGGAACTCAAATTTTGACTTATGAAGAGTTTGTAACTCTAATTGCACAAATTGAAGCATGCTTAAATTCGAAGCCAATAACACCGGTCTCCAATGATCCCAATGATTTGACAGCTTTGACTCCTGGACACTTTATTATAGGGACTTCTTTAACAGCTGTTCCGGAACAAGATTTAACCGAAGTACGAGTGTCTCCATTGCAAAGATGGCAACTAACACAGCAGATGTTCCAAGGGTTTTGGAAGCGGTGGTCAAAGAGTACCTGTACCAACTACAGCAGCATAGCAAATGGAAACAGCATAGCAGAAATATTTGTCTAAATGACTTGGTTCTCATTAAGAAGATAATATGCCTTCATTACGTTGGAAACTCGGGCGAGTAATAGAAGCGTTTCCTGGAAGAGACAATAATGTCCGAGTGGTTAGACTAAAAACTGTGCACGGGGACATTAAACGTCCTATTACCAAACTGTGTCTTTTACCAGTTGAAGAACATTAACTTAAGTGTTTGGTTTATATTGAATATGTTTTATTTTTTTTATTTCTTATTGTACTAATAATTTTATTTGTTTGTTCTAGTTTAACCCTCATAGTTAACGTTTCAATATAGTAAGATATAAGATGTTTTGCTAGAAGATTGGTAAGTGTAACATGTAATTTTATACTTTTTGAAGGTTTTTGTATGTTTTCAGTTTCTATGTTTTCATTTACTTGTTTGCATATATTGAAGATTGTATTAAGATGAATGTAATTCATCGGGGGGGGAGGATGTTTTGGCCTCCTCGGTGATTGCGGTGATTTGTGCCCAGAGGGCGCACCGCACAAAAAGTTAGTTGCGTTACAGAACGTTAAGGGAAGCGGACACGCCAAAATGTCGGGCGTATTACCGCTAATTGAGGTAATTGCATCGTATCTGTCAGGTGGCAGAAAACTAGTATGATGTATCAATTCACATGCCAGGTGGCAGAATATGTCTATCATGTACATGCCAGGAGGCATAACGCTTGTAAACATGCCAGGTGGCATACGACTTGTAAATAAATTGTAAGTAAATGTACAGTAAAATATCTTGGTGCAATAGATCAAGGAACAAGCATCAACAACCTTCTGATCATTTGGATACGTACATACTCCGACATCAGCCATGCACCCACAGTGGTTTTGTTCCTGGATGAGCTCATTGTTATAGATGGAGGGTGGTCATAATGCAATGGCTCTTCAGTGTATATGTAATGAAATGAAATACAGTATAAAGTCCGAGATCCAGACTCGCTGGGACTTTGCCGTTTCCGGATTTGGGATTTTTCCGGGTATTAGATCATCAATTTAAAGCTAGTGAGGTGGCATACAAAAAAAATTTTAATTAAAAATATGAAATCATGATTTATGAAATAATGAAGCATTTATGATGTAAAGGGTATCAAAATTTACAAAAAAAAAAAAAAAAAAAAAAAAGGCTTAATTGTTTACTTTATTAAACATTTCTTTGAATGTAAATTAAGTTGCTTCATTTTTTGTGCCTATACTTTCTCTTCAACTCTATAGACAGACATAATTTCTTGTTCTATTACAAAGTTCCACTATTCAAGCCTCTATTTGCTGTGTCGAGAATTCGAACTAACTTGTAAATCAAAATTTTTCATTTTCAATAACCTCTCATCACTTTTTCTTCACTACCAGTAATGGTTTTTTCTGGATCTAGAACCATACTACAGATTTCGCCTCTGTTAAATAATCGATGATTGGAGCATTGCCATCGCAATGAAAAACTTCTGTTATATCATCTTTACTTATTACCGCTTCTCCTCATTTCTTTACAAAATTCATTAACTGGAAAAGCAGATATGCAGCTATGGAGCCAAATTATTGATCACAAAAATTTATGCCAAAATTATTATTTCTTCAATAACGAGGTATTTTTATTTAGTGTCCAAGTGAAATTAAGAATTGGGATTCTTCACATGGTTTCTTATGGGGGAAAAATCAAATGTGCATACGTAAAGCATTAAAAAAAACTTTGCTGGTGGCTTTAAGATCCGGATTTTAAAACATTCCAGATATTGGACGTCTGGATCTTGGACTTTGTACTGTATATGGTTACAAATAACAATGCAAATAAATGGTTGCAAAAGCTAAATAGCTTTTTTTTTAAATTATCACTGACAATAATATAAAGGTGCCATTATTGGCAAGTTTCAGTCTATGAATAACAAAGATATTAGTTAATACATAAGTACCAAAATAAACTGATATCCTTAATTATATGCATTTAAATATACATATTAATACTGATCTTTAAAGATTCAAACAACGTAATGGAATAGAAAGGCTATAACATATTTAATATTTGTACTCACTCATCTTCACTTCCAATCTCTCTGCTTAAGCAAGCTTTCAAACATGAAGAAATAGCATTTCTATCAGCACATTTTGCATTTATTTCTTTCCAAACCAAATCCTTAAAAAATAATTTTTCTATATTTTAAATAACTTTTGAATGTATTTAAATATTTCTTATTACAAAAAATTTTTTTTTAAAGTATACATAGAAAATTATGAGAATATCACAGTTCAAAATAAGTTCATATTTGTTATATTAGAACTAGAGTGTGTAAAAAGTTATAATTTAACTTCTCTTAACCCTGCATTTGGCACATAGTTCATCGTGCACCTGTTTCGTATAGGCGAGCAGTTGATATCTGTCAAGAATGCACCTAATATCCAATGACAGAATTTTACATAGACTTCCCCCTAAAAAACGCTAGAGAGGATAAGGTGTCTGATACAGAGTAGAAAACTAAAAAGAAAATAGCTTAATATACTAAGAATGTTTTTGCATTGCAAAAGACAAAGATCTATCTTTTCTTTAGATCATTTTAAGTATGTGATCCTCTTTATGTAGAATGCCCTCATTTCGTGAAAGCAAAAATTATAAAACCAAGCCAATGTCCAATATTTTTCTCAATTTATTCCATACTGTATTTATTTCAAAGCCATAACAAAATGCATTTTTAATTCACACATAGATTTAAAATAAAAATTTAATAATAGCCCAGGCCAGTATTTAAAATAATGATAATACAAAAGTGAAACTTTAAGTTTGCTTCCAATCCAGAAGCTAAAATGGGATATTAGATGCAAAGAATTATGGATATTTTTAGAATAGAAAATTACTTCCTAATTATTATTAATTATATTTCTAAGTTCCATAGAGCCTAGTTTTATACAATCCATTTTGGCTGATCTTTGGAATATGGTAACAGGTAGTTTGGCAACATTCTGGAGGCGATTTTGGTAATAATGTGAGAAGTACTCAGTTCTGATTATGCATTATTTTGCGTAAGAGAAATGAGAGATCATGAGATATGTCATGTGACATTAATGGACGAATTACAATTCTTTAATCGGAAAAGGGGGTAAAATTTGGAAAAATATCTGTAGTAATATATTATTTTGTATTAAGCTTCATTGTGTGCTGTGTGAAATAATGTTGATTAATTTTCGGATTGCATGGCGCTATGTAAAGTGAATTCTAAATTTTTAATGCATTTATCTGATAATAATAATAAGTTGAGATTGTGTGAAAGGAAGGATATTACAGATAAGTTTGAATGGCGGTGCAAGAAATCTGGTGAAAATGGACACTTTGTGAAACTTAGTGTAAGGAAGGGTACGTGGTTTGCTGAAAGTAGTTTGAGTATGGGTGAAATTTTATTAATTTCTTATTACTGGGTGAATAGACTGCCAGTTGACTACTGGATTTCGGATTTAGAAATTAGCAGTAGTACTGCAGCCGATTGGAACTCTTTCTGTACGGAAGTGTGTGTGCCACGTAATGAAGATTCTGAAGAAGATTAGGTAAGTTAGTATTTTTAATCATTTGAGGATATTATTTTTATGTATAGTTCTAAATGTAAGGAGTAAATAAATTAATATGGTATTATGGAAAATTGTTATTAGCAATGATTTAGTTTAAAGTAATTAGGATTGTAATCTAATTTTTATTAATTTAATGTATGTGCTTATTTATATTTTAAGTAGTGTTTTTTAATTTAATGATCGTGATTTTGTGAGTTATATGTTTGTAGTATTTTGGAATACGTTTGAGTAGAATACGTTGAGTATTTTCATGAAATTTTTCTAATTTATGAGAAAAAAGCAGTGTACATGGATATAGTGAAGAGTGTGCGCAATGCCATTTTTGTGCAATTCTGGGATGTTTCTTTAAGTAAAAATAAGTCGACGTGTACATGGTTTAGTGATATTTTAATTAAATGATAGTTATTTTGTGAATTTTATGTTTGTAGCAATTTGGTATACGTTTCAGTTGAAGTAAACGTGTATGGAAATAATTTAAATATTTAACACTAAGTATTTGTAACTATTTTTAATGTTTGCGTTAAAAATTTGTTGGTGACGTTTATAATATAATAGATAATTTAGAGGTAAAAGTTTTTGGATATTTTATTTATTTTATACGTGGAAATGTTCATCCTTGGAAAGGGTATATACTTTTTCGCGATCAGGTAATTTCTTATATGTGCTTTTTACCGAGTTTAAAGATTCAGAAAATTTTCCTGCATTTTCGTGCAAATTTTTGTAATTTATGAGAAAATAGCAGTATTTTTGTGCAATTCTGGGATTTTTTTTTAAGTAAAAATAAGTCTACATGTAAATGTTTATGTGTATGTGCTATTCTGAAAAATGCGCAAGGAGTTTGTGATTGTGCACTTTTTCCCAATTTTGCAGTTAATATTTGTCATGATTAAGCAGTTTTGTTACATAAAATTTCTAGCATAAGTGTAATTCGGCTAGTAGATTGTTGGGAAAAGTGTTGAGTAAATAAAAAGAAAAGAAACATGTCTTTACTTCGTGAAGACAAAAATGGCGGCGAAAAAAAAATAGAGGGTTGCTGTAGCAGAGTTGGACGCCAAATTTTCGCCAAGTTACCATAATCCAAAGATCAACTTAAATTTTACCTACAAGTTTAAAACCAAGAAATAAAAAAGTCATGACAGTTTAATTAAAATTATAATTTGTACTAAACATATTGATAACTTTTCCAATACATTAAGTTACTACCTTTAAAAAAATTATACTGTCATTTTTCCCAAGTCAAAAGAATCCAGTTTAGAGATATCTAAAGAAATAAATTAACCCTATAATACAGACAAAAAAATGAAAATACAGTGTCTCACAAAAGTGTTTGCGTACTAGTAATTTGTACAAAAAGCGCTATAACTGGAAACTGAGTTCGAATATAAAGCCCAATATTTTTTCATATCATTTCGATGTGACTTTGAATCAAACCAACCTTTTTTAATACCGACTTATTTTCTTTTTCTAAAATTCAAAATGTAAGGATTAATAAAACACAATTAAAATTGTTAATAATAATTTTTAAAATATTAATAAAACACACCACAAAATTGATCATACAACCCCAACGTTTTCCTAAAATTATCTCCCACTTTTTTATTTTTGCATTTTGGTGATGTTAAGAAATTGTTTGGCTTTATTTTTTGCTCGCTTACTTCGTTATATTTTACTTAATGTTTAAAGAATGCTCACAGTCGTAAGGAAACATCGAACAGTATTTGAAAATTTATCATTTTTTCAGGATGGAAATTTGGTTCTGGATATCACTAAATTAGTAAATTTATCTCATTCTGTGGTGCAGCACATTTGAAAGCTGTTATAAATATTGTAGTACATACTACAAAATACTAACTTGCACAAATCCTGCAGTATGTACTATAAAACACTACAGTATTTACTAATATGTGCAGATTTCTTTTAAGTGTATGAAGACCTCTATGAGGTAACTTTTCTGTTACTGTTTTAATATGTTCATAAAATAATTAATGTTGTTTCGTCAAGAGAAATCTATAGATATTATTAAATATTTACATTCTAAAATATTAATTTTTATTAATGAATAAAGCAATATTTCACTGAAACTCATAAGTGCACAAACACTTTTGCGAGCCACTGTATATCTAATATAGAATGTAATGTTTTGGTTCAAGGTGGGTTAGTAATAGCCCTTTCATTCTAAACTGTTTAATCTCCAGTAAAAATACTTTAAAATTTTTTAGAATCATGGGAAAAAAATACTGTAATAATTAATAATAATAATGATAATTAAATGTAAAAATAATATGTGTGTGTGTTCAAAATGAAAATTCTAATATAGTCTTCTTTATTAGTTTAAGTTTCTTAAGGAAATATTATCCTATTTTCATGGTTTCTTAAAACAAGTGTACGTGCTTTTTTCAATACAGACCAAATCTGAAAGATTGTACAGAAAACACAAGGTTAAAAAAAAAAAAAAAATCTTTTATGTGTTTAATAAACAACAAGCTTACAATACTTACTTCTTCAGGGTCAGAAAAAGAATTCAAAACATATATGTATGTTGCACTGCACTTTAACAAGGATAAAATATGACTGGAAAAATGTAAACAGTAATTCTGCTCCTGCGTATTAAGTAACAATGTATTAATGTAATCAGCAACCAAAATCTCTTCTTTATTTGTGACTGCACCTGAAAAATTTATAAATAAATCAACGAATGAATATACACTAGAAGATATGAAATACTTGGAATGTTAAATAAAGTAGACAAGCTCTATAAATAACTTAGCATGAAAGTAACTAGTGCATATATAACTCCTTTTTCTCTGAACATAAAAAACAGCTGTTAAAATATACAACAATTGAAATATCAAAAGCTATTAACAAAATTAAAATATCAAAAGCTACGCTAAAATAAAAAATGCATTAAAGAACTTCTAACGCTAACAGATCATAAGATACAGTTTTTTTTATTATTTTATAAAGATTACATTAAATTTGAAAAAATATAAGCACATATTTTATATAATATTAATAATCCTTTAATTTAAACAATTCAAAAGAAAATAACCTCGACAGATATATAAAAAAAAGTGTTCCATCGAAGTGAGATTTGTTGCCGCCGAAAAACTCGAAATTCATATCAAACTCCGTGTTATTGTTGCCATCATTAGTTCCCTTTATGTATCTATGGTACTGTACTAGATTCAAGAAGGATAAAAAATATATCTATAATATTCTAACCTTCTTAGTTCCATTTTATTTCTTACATTTCTCAAAAATTAGAATTGATAGAAAAACTACAAAATAAATTCATACGGTAATGAGATTATTTCTATCGCGGTTGATGTTAGTATTTTTTTTCTTTTTTCTTTTTTAATGGCGGGCACTAGCCATTTTTAAGTTTTCGCTCCTACTAAGGTCTGGTACTCAGAAAAAGAAAGTTTCCGGTTGTCGCAAGAATATAAAAGAGTTCCATAAACAATCTGATACATAGAAAATTCGATGTTGATGATCCTTGAGTTGGCCTTGGATTATCGCGCGTAGGTAAATAAATAAAAAGAAAACGCAAATAAAAAAAATGAAAATACAGGTCCCAATTAACCATTAGACATAATACTGAAAAGCAAGTCAGAAAAGGAAATATTGCAAGGAAGTCAGGAATAATAATAATTGGGAAATAAGTCAGAATGCTGCTTAGAAATACAAAAGCCATCACCGAGTGAATACATGCATATGTACAAGAAATTGTGCAGGAAATAAGTTCATGCCGGAAAATTGTTGTTGCAGAGAAGGGTTGCAAAAAGGCCGGAGGCCGCTGGTTCTCGTTAAGTATTAGGTATCCACAGTTTAATGCTTTTCAATAAAAGTGTGCGTTAATAATTCAGAAAATCTTCCACAGTATTAATCTGCAAACCTTCGTGACCATTGATTAACACCAGATAGTTCGCATGCATAAGTATTTATTTTTGAATTTTTTTCAGGGCCTTTGTTATGTCACTTTTTGACACAATACACCAAGCGCGTGATGTTTAAGTTAGAATCGGATCAATGATGGCGACAGGGCTTAATTTCTAGAATTAGAAGTGCTGGAGCATTATGGATGACTGTGAACAACTGTAAAGAGGTAAATAGAAAGTTCATAAATTATTAAATTAATTATAAATAGTTCATTTCGAAGTCAAACAACAAAAATCAGCTTTATATTTTCAAACTTTTCACAGGACTAGTTTCGATGGTTTTACCGAACCACCATCCTCAGCTGGAAAACCGCAAATGAACAAGATAGGAAATAATGATTAGATAAGATAAGAAAGCCTGGACAAGAATAAGCAAGTGGCGCCATCTGTTGGTGAAACCAGAACTAAAACATAATTTCTTTAAAGGTCGAAGGCAAAGATGGATTGGAATTAGGATCGTTAACTAGAACAGAAAGATTTTTTAATGTGAAATGCCTCTAGAAAATCCAGTTCTCCAATGGAAGATGTTTTTTGAATAATTTTGGCAGCAGAAAAATTGAAAGTGTGATTTTCGGACCAACAATGTTGAGCAACAGAAGACTTCTGTGTTTCCTTTTTCCTAACATATGCCTCATGTTCCTTGACGCGAAATTTTAAGGCTCTCCTAGTTTGGCCAATGTAAATCAATCACACTGGCAAGGAATAGATGAGGAATTTGTTTGCTAGAAAGAACTGGCTTTCCTATTTTATGTCTAAAATTATAGGAAAGCTTAGCTATGATTTTGGTTACATATTTCAAGTCACCCTTTAGGATTCGAGAAATGCAGTTAAAATCTGTCGATAGACTAATTAGAACGGAAGATATCGAATTATTCTTTTTTTACTCTAACATGGCTCCAGAAGTTTAACGGATAATTAAAATAAAATCTGTTTCAAACACAGTCTCGAAATTTAATACGCAGATGCCTCCTAACCAGATATTCTAATAGTAGAAAATGCGTAGCCCTTAAACCCACAAAACAGTCTACTAAATACGCAACTCTAAATTATATATTGTTTGGCTTCTGCATCACTTCGAACTTCTTGGGGAGAATATTAGTAAATGAGAATGTACAGAGGACTGACTCGACGACAGTAAGACCAACAGAGCGATTTCAGTTGAGGTCATATTATAATCTTCAGACAAACCGGCTTGTCGTGCCATAGGTATACTAATAATTACACAGTATTGCTTTAATTAGTAATGCTTAGATTATTATATTTATGGGTTCTACTGATAAACCGCGTGATCTGTGAATCCGAATGATGACACAATCCCGCCAGATATTGCTACAGTGTTTTCAACAGGCCAATTATAATCGTCAAGAGGAATTGATTGACGATTATTATTTTCAAGAAGCCATGAAATTCCTTGAAAAGTGTCTGGTGTTGCGCTGCCCCAACCTGCACGCAACAACAGTAGTGACTGCTATGAACTGGAAAGTACACAAATTCTTAAGAAGGGTTTAACTCACTTTTTATTCCACTTTTACAAATGCGTGCACTTGAAGCTTACAAACTACGCCGACCCGGCGGTAAAATAAAAATAAGAAAGTACAACTAAAAATGAATAATAACAGGTCACTACCTACGAGGCTCTTTAAACGTAACTAACTTAACCGCTTTCTAAGATACAGCTGAGATTTCAGCAAACTTTCTGAATACTAAGTTGAAAGATTCAACTATCTGCCGAGGCAAGCACACAGGCCGAAACGCGCGGTTCTTAAAATTCTACCTAACCTTCACGCTCGTGAATCAAGAAAGCACACCTACAAACTCGTTTCCCTTCTATTTAAATCAAAATTACTTCTGCTAAAGATTTGAATACTTTGCGCGTTCTACTAAAATTTACATACTCTGGCATTGGCAATTCCAGGGGAATGTAAGGCTTGACAGGAAAGATAGCTTAAAATAAATGTTAGTTAAAATAAATAAAAACCCTACATTTGCCGATGCCAGAATTTGGTAAACTTGGAAGCAGGTCCTAGAAACGATCTGTTGAAAAGTTTCCATATTCTGAACTAAAATTGAAGAGCCTCGTTTACATAAAACAAACTGTTTTCTCACAAATTAGAATAAATTTCTGTAGATAATCATTTTACCCTCTCTTCTTACAGCAACCTTTCCTGGACTTCAGCAATCAATCTTCCTTCCAGCATCTGGAAGGAATAAGTATCAGTATCTTTCTAAATACATTATAATTTACACTTTCTTGACACTGAATAAAGTTTTTGTTTTTGATCGTTTTATTTTCCTTAATTACTGCTTAATTCACATTCATTCAAGTATTCAAACATGAATTTAACTTTACCCTGGCTCTTCACCATGTGTGGTGTCAAACGAGAATATTCGTGTTTTAATATTGCAACACTTCCCCTAACCACAATGATTTGTTAGAATTCAACGATCAAATAGACACACCTTACTCGACATTCTAAAACTCGATGAGCTACTTTAACATTCTTAAAATTCAAGTGTAGGTGGAGAACCCTACAAAACACATTCATTCTAATTTCCCCCTCATTCATTTAGACATGCAGGCTTTCGCTCTAAAGCATGAGTTTATCTACAGTTTAACACTTAAATTTGAATTTATTTCTTTCGAGTATTTACTTTTAGCATCTAAAATTTTATGCTTCTAGACTAAATTCTACTTTTACATAACTTTTAAGTATTTCCGTATATTTACAAAATTCTAATACATATGATTTTTACAATTTACCATAAAATGAATAAGAGAAAAATAAATTTTTACTTCACGCATTCTTCGCCAAGCTGGCGGCACTGAAACTAAATTTCTCATTAATACAAGAATATGAAGTTATTTTACTTTCGGCCAAATTTTGGCTTTAACATAACAGAATTAGTCTTTCGACCAACAGGAACTGCTTGTTCTTAATTTTATACTTAAAGAAAATAATACTTTTTGCCTTCGCTAAATAAGTAAAACAAAACTAAGTCTCAACCGAGACACATTGACTTCAGTCAAAACATAGAACTTCGTATTTACGCATAACATTTCGGATCAAAGAAAAATTTATAGAAGATTTTAACTTATCTTTGAGTTTTCGATGATTGGAACTCCGAACATCCTCTTCTGGCAGAACTGCTCCCACGATATGGAATTCATCGAAGTCAGTCGTTCTCCTTTGTGTTCCTTCGAGTTTCGGTCCATGTTGATTTTTCTTTTTCGCCCTCTGTATGCTGCCGGCCTCTTGGAGTGGTAGTCGTCGGGTTGCTGTCTTTTACCGTTTTGCCGCTGGACGGCTGGTCCTTGGCGTCGTCCGGTCTGGAAATCGTGCTTGAATTTCTTCTGTGGGTGGTGGTCTTTTCGTTCCTTCTGCTGTCTTTTTGTTCTCGTGAACGGCGGCCTTGTTTGCTCCTGACTATCTGACCCTGGAAGTGGTTTTGTCGACGCAGAATTTCTACTGCGGTGCGTTGTAACTGGTCTTTTCCTTTTTACCAAAGATTCTTTAAACGGCGGCTTTGCTTTCTTGTATTTCTTAAATGCTGGAGTCTGAACATTTTCCTTTCTTCTTTTCGGGACCGTAGCACGACTTTTAGAAGGGCTAGGTTCCTCTTCTGTTGTCTGCTTCTTGGGTGGTGGAGCAGGTGACGTTACTTCTGGACCTTCCACTTCTTTTGCGCTTGAGTCCTGCAAGAAACTTTTAAGGATTTCAAAATCATTTTGATTATAATATTTTTTCACCTGGTCGGGACTTGCTTTACAGATTTCCCCTCTCTCGTTCTTAAGGTACAATACGACTCCCTTGATTTCCTGTATTACATAGGGGCCTTCAAATTTTGGAGCCAATTTTGCAGTGAAATTATCTGGGGCACTTGATAAAGAAAATTTCCGCTTTAACACTTTATCCCCAACTTTAAAATCTGCTTCACGGCGTTTTCTATCATAGCAGAATTTCTGTCTATTTCTTGCCGTATCCGAGCTTTTAACAGCCTGATCAATGATTTTTTGTACATCTTTTTGTTTGAACTCTTGCTCTCTTTGTTGCAGAAAGAATAATTTATCTAGTGGCGTAATCAACTTCCGTCCTAAAAATAATTCTGCTGGAATTTTACCCGTAGTATCGTGATTTGCTCTGTTCTTAAAGCATAAGCTAACTCATTTATGTAGCCATCCCAGCGCTTGTGATGTGTGC